CCCCCCGCCCGCGCCCCCTGCCGCGACCGATCTGGACCCCGCGCGACCGCCGACGTTTCTGGACGGCGAACCGTTGGCGGCGGATCTGTCTTCTAAATTCCTGGGCATGATGTAATAAACACAAGCTTAAAGCCACAGGTGATTTTGATAGGGCTACGTCTACTGATTCTTTCTCCTTTTCGTTTTCCTTGTTTCTTTTGATTCCCCTGTTTTGCTAAAAAGTTTAAAGTTGGAGACTTTGAAATAGTAGATGAAGCTTTTTTTTCCCCTTCTTCACCCCCAAAGAAATTAGGAAAGAAAATTAATACCCATCAGACACAAGAATCAAAATAAAACACCCATATAGAAAGATCAATACTTGACTGGAAAATTAAAGGAAAAAACATAAGATCAAACTGAAAGGGGGAGAGAGAAATTCGATTGGAAAGAGACGAGATAGGAGAAAATTCTAAGATCAGTGAGAAGTGGATCAAAGAAGCCAAAGATAATCTCGAGATCTGTCAAAGAAATAGCTCAAAAAAGCCTTCATGTTACCCAAAAGAAACACCCCTCAACGAAAAACCTTAGAGAAAAAAAAAACATAGACTTGGTTAAAACAAAGGACACAAACACAAAGTGAAACTCAAAAACAACATGGAACTCCTCTTGTCTTCACAGGGGTATTAGAGTAAAATCAGCAAAAAAAATTGTGATCACCAACCTTGCTAAAGCGTTTGGATCTCAAAACAGAAAATGCGAAGCACAAAAAAGAAAGTAAAATTAATTAAAACAGACCCAAAAACCAATCAGAAATAGCAAAACACAGTCCCAGCATATTCATTGTTCATCACTTAAATAGAAGGGAAGAACAAAAATAAGCATTGTTATCCAAAGATTTGGATTTTCATTTCAGTTCTGTAAAGAGACGTACCCACTCTTTTACATGAAATCCGTGTGATTAAATGTTTGCCATGTCGAAAATCCAACACGAAGACAGGAAAAAGAAAACGAAAAATTGCAAACCTGGCAGGGATGAGCCCAGATGATTCCTTGCTTGAGACGAGGCCGTTTCTGGGATTCGTAGTCCGACCGGAGGATACGCCGGAGAGAAGCGGAGGAGGCGGTGGCGGCGGCGGCATTGCCGGGTTCGCCGATCTTCTCTGTAGTTTGTTCGACGACATCGTCCTTCCTTGTCCCGACGACGACGACGAATCATCGGCGGCGGCGGATCGGATCTCAGCCCGAGAGACCCTCGACCGCTTCCGCTGTCCCCACTGCAGCAGCACATCTCCGCCGCCGCGGCTGGGGCTGGGACCAGGACCAGAGGTGTGGTTAGGGTCGCGAGGATCTTGTTGGGATCTGAATCGGAATCCTTTGGAAACCCCGTCGAAGGCGGAGCTGGTGCTCGTGCATGCGCCGTTGATTCCTCCGCCGGTCGATGTGGCGGAGGCTGTTCCGTTGTCGGCTATGGCGTCCTCCTTCGATGATGCTCGTGAAGGAGAAGGTCTCAGGTAGGGCTTCTTGCCATTGGTGAGGGGAAGGCAATCTGGGCTTACTCTCTGATACCTGTTGAACGGTTTGAACAAAAGTCAGATCAACGAGAACTCATCCAAACGGATGGATATTAACTGGAAATCAGAAAATGCATCCGAATCCATTGATGTTTCCAAGGGAAAAGGATTTTTTGGAGGTTCGATTGTATTTTCTTCGGGTTCTCTCTGAATTTACAGTGATAGGGTATGAAATCAAAACAACAGAAGCAACTCCGCAATGGGTTTTTTAGATCTTTGGAGCCCAAAATCCAAAACCTTCTCCTCTTCAGATGAAGATTCGGATCTTCCAGCTACAACGTATTCATCAGAAGAAACCAAAAACATCATCCACAGAGAGACAGAAGAGGAAGCAAAAGGTTGACATTAGTGTAAGAACACCGTGATCTGAGAGTTTTGAAATGAAACCCAGATCCAGAAAACACATAACACGTCCAAAAAAGAAAGAGAAAAAACATAATAATAAAAAAGTGGAAATTCCGGCGGTTTGATCATGAGAAAATCAAACAGAGTGCAGACCATCAAAGCGAGCTAGGGGAAAGCGAGAGATGATGAGGAAAACGGAGGACACAATCGATAACGGAGAAGAAGAAAGAGAGGAAGGACCTCATCATTATACCCAAGAGAAAATCCGGTTCGGGGTTTCAGCAACGATGGGATTTGCGATTCCGATCTACGATTATTTTCAGATTCTAGGATTGGTTCAGTCCTCCTCCCTCATATTCCGATAGAACGAAAGAGAAAACAAAGATTACAGGCTCCCTCTACTCCTACTTCTTCTTCTCGTACCGATCACCAGACGAACAAAGACAAGAGAAGGATGCAGAGAGAGAAAGAACTCTAGAAGGAGATTATATATATATATATATATGTGTGTGTGTGTGTGTGCGTATAGAGAGAGAGAGAGGAGGAGGAGAAGGGGGGAGGAAGAGAAATGGAGGCTTTGCGTTAACACTGAGGAAGCAAGGGGCAAACGGAGGAGAAATAGTGGGTGCGTTATTGTGAAATTTTCTTTTAAAAACAAAATAAAAGTTTTTGTTATTGCTTCTCAAGTACTTATAAATTCTCGAGTCATCAACTTTCACCCTCAATTTATATTTCTTACAGATTAGTCCCTCCAGATATGCGATACGCTTCTTACATCCAAATTGAACTTGCACAAAAACAAGATGGCCACAGGATTCAGAGCATTGCAAAACATTTATATGCCAGACTGCACATAATCCCTGACCGATCGATCATTCTTTCGATTTCCAATTTCTCGTACCAGACCAAATGATAAAATGTATGCCAGAATGCCATGGTTGAAGTAAAATGTGTATCAGTATGTAATGGTTGGAGTAAAATACCAAATCAAGGATGATGATGATAATGGTATGGAGTCCATTATCATGTTTTTGCCCTCTGTCATAGCTACCGTAAAAGCCTTGGAACAGCACCTTTCGGCACTTTGCCTTCGAGTTTTAGCCTTCTGTAAGCTTCTCTTATATGGCAAGGTCTGATGGGTCCTGAGTCCTTCCTTTCCCCCATCACAGTCCGAGCTGCATATCGATGCAGTAAGTGAACATAAAGGTCTATACTAGTATCCGCCTTATTCATCTACAAGAATTCTTCCCGCTTTTACCTTTCTCGACAAGGTCTCCTACAAACATCTTTGCAATACTGCACATAACGATCGTGATTTGCAGATTTATCGTCTGAGTCCCCGTGATACTTGTCAGTAACTGTATCGAGACAAATGAGAACACGAAAAGGGGAATTCATGACGGTATCTTTACATGGATTGCAATCATAAGATTCAAGCAGACCTACTTACTATACGGGAAAGGACCGAACTCAAGAATCTAAGCCAGTTAGTATTCGAGAAAAGACTTAATCTTTAGGTCTGTTTCCACACAATCAGGATAGAACAAATAGCCAAGATTTGAAGCGCAACAGAACCTAATGAGGGCATCAAGAACGCGAATATAGAGTGAGTTTATGATAAGATTTTACCCTCTTCATGCTTGATCTCTGAAATGCCGATCTCCGATACGATTCATATCTGTTCATCTGATCCCCTGTGAACTGTGAAAAAACGTCCCTGAAGAAACACATCATCATCAAGTGCTTACACAAAGAATTCATCAAATCTCTCACACACAGACTTGCTTGCTTCAGAACTCAAATCCTGAACCACCAGAGACAAGAAACCAAAGACTCACTGCATCTTGTCAGCCGTAGAAGTGTCACCACTAAACGGGCGCTTAGTGAAGTCAACGTCCGCAGTCTCTTCCTCTTCTTCATCATCATCATCGTCCTCATCGTCTTTGTTCTCCCCTAAACCCTCCATGGAAGTTTTAGACTTCTTCGACGGCCGGAGATCTCCGGCGGCTGTGTCGTCCTCCGCCGGAATCTTCTTGATCGAGGTTCGGCTTCCATCACCACCACCGACGTCACCGTCTACGACAGGTTTCTCCCGTAGCGATTCCTCGTACTCACGCCATGCCGCTTCGAAGGGGTCTATCGGCTGCTTCATTCCTGATAAAAACCCTCGATTACGATCAACGTTTTGCTCCAGGACACATCAATGGATTCCCAAAACTCCATTGAAGTCGCCGGCGTTAGCATCACAGTAGCAAGATTCCACGTACGTAAAACCCGATGAAATCGATACATTAGGGCTTTGTCCACGCAATAAACTGCAAACAAAGAGGGAAAAGACAAACCTCGGAGTGTTCTTCCGTAAAACCTTGATCGGATTTCTGGAGAAGCGTCGCCTTCAATGATCCGCACAAATTTTCCCGAGCGAGGAACGATTTCTTTCTCCGAGCGATTTTTGGCGCGCTTTATAGGAGCATTCTATTCGGTTTAAACAGAACCGAAAGCTAAACCGGAAATTTAGTTTTGAATAACCGGTCTTTCGTGTACGAGTAATAAACCAATTCTCCATTACAGAAAAAGAAAAAAGAAAAAAGAAAAAACTAAATGGGCGGATACCTATACTATACTTAGTTACTTACCCAGCTCTACTACCACGAGACATTCATGCCAAATTTTGGTAACGCTTTGCTAAATAAATTGCCAACTTAATAAAATAATGATTTGAATCATATAAGCATAAATAAATGAAATACAACGCATATATGAAAAAAAAAAACACGACCCATATATTTTGTTACTAATTCACATTGACATTATAAATAAAATAAAAACCCTTAAAAAGATTTCTATCCACACACACACTAAATAAACAAACAAGAAAATCCCCTTTTTACGTACAAAGAGTTTTGGTTAAATCATCTGCCAGCACGATCTCAGGCCTTCGACGGCTCAGACGCCGGCGTTTCCTCTTCCTTCGCCGGAGTTTTCGCCGGAGCTTCCACCGGAGCAGTCTCTTCCTTCTTCTTCTCCTCCTCCTCGGCCGGTTTCGCTTCTTCTTTCTTCTCTCCGACGGTTTCCTTCTCCTTATCACCACTTGTTTCTTCGGACGTTTTCGTTTCTTCCTCTGTTGTCACCTCCTCGGACGCGACATCTCTCGTCTTCTCTACGGGCGGAAGGAACTCGGACACCTTCTCGAACACGAACGAGACAGGTCCGGTCAGGTAGCTCACACCGAAGTTGGCCGAAGCTTCAGACACAGCTTTCGATCCAGGGAATTCTGACATTGACCAGAGAGAGAGAGAGAGAGAGAGAGAGAGAGAGAGAGAGATGCAATATGTCACTATTGGTCCAAGTAGACGTCAATGAACCAACCAAAACAATAACCGAACCGAACCAAACCATACCGATTTTGACAAGCTCCTCGAGGAACTTTTGGACATCTGTAGAGTGTTTCTTCAGACCATCCTCTTTGGGCTCCCTCACCAAAGCCTGTAATTATCCATTTTAATTAATCATTATTAATCTTGTTTTCGTGTTTAAGAACGTGGGAATAACAAAAACAAAAACTGAATATATAGAGTAGAAAATGAAAAAGAAAAGAACCTTGACTTCGGCAGACGTGGCCTCGTAGGTTTCCATGACTTTGGGCTGGAGTTCTGTCTTTTTCTCTTCCATCTCCTTGTTGATCGCTTCCTATTTATAAGTACATACACGTATACGTATACGTAAATGCCCATTAATTTGTAATACAAGATCAGTGATTACAAATCTCATGCACGTTACGTACAACAATTACTAATGTTTTATTTTCTAACCCATATTAACCTACAAAAGTGGGATAGATCACAGATATGACACCGATATATAATATTTATAATTCCCGTATTGATTTCTTTATCAAATAATTGAGTCTATTATACGATAATATACGCGTATATGTATATTTAAATACCTTAGATTCATCGAAGTTCTTGATGGCCTCAGCAGCAGCCGCCTTTTTCCCAGGTTTCTTCTCGAACATCTTCTTGATCGTTGGAAGAACCTTCGATTTCCAGTAACCCATCTTCTCCCTCCCCTTTTTCCTGTTCCTCTTGATGCGCTAATCGATTTGATAATCCCACAATTAATTAAAGGAAAATTAATCAAACCCTCACACGACATCTATCTATATATCTATATATGTATCTTTTTTTGTATATACACGTGTGTATATATATCTGTGTATAGACTTTGTTTCCTGGTTCTTCTGGGTTGATGATACTTACTTGGGATGATCTGTGATATTCCTCGGCTCTGTTCTTCTTCTCTAAACACCAAACTGATTGTCCCTCTGAATCAAGAAGTCTCGCAATCATATAGACAGACCTTTCCCCAAAATACCCCTCTTTCTCCTCTAAATTACGTATCCTGCCCCCCTCTCTCTCTCTCTCTGTCGTTTCCTTTGCACCGTTGGAGCCAGAGAAATTTCGGTTTAGAGACTAACCGACACTCTCGGCCAATGAACAAACCGGAATCGGTTGTACCAAAACCATTCGGCCTATTATTTCAGAAGCTTTCTTATGTTATGTGGAAGTTTGATCCGGTTTGTTTTCTATATTTGTGAAGAACGTAAACCAGGTTCGAAATTCATTTCCGGTTAAATACCCCGATTAGTTTTGGTTTCTATTGCAAACCGGATAAGGTTGAAAAAATAGTACGTCATCATCGGTGGAATAACGGTCAAATAAATAGAGAAGAAATGCCAGCTGGCAATCACATCTATATCGGCGTTGGCAGTATCAAAAAGTGGGACCCTCCCCTTCTGTCTAATTGTGGATGGTGATCTGTAATTGTTATATTATAGTTTTTGTCAAATTTATTAAATTGAGATATGTATTATTTTAGGGCTGGACGATTCGGAACCGAACCGAATCGAATCGAAAAAACGATATTTTTTCTGACCTGAAACCGTTCTTAATTTCCGAACGGTACCATTTTTAGAGAACCGAATTTTTCCGGAACCGAACTGAAGCGAACTTTAAAAATCCCGAAAAACCGAATATTTTTAAAGAAAATCTATCTTTTTTTAAATAAAATCCGGAACCGAACCGAACCGACACCAAAACTAAACCCAACCTAGCGTGGGAGAGTGGTTAGCGTGTTGGCCAATGAGTCTTCACGCCGACTGTTCGATTCTTAAAGTTAGGGAGGGTTATTCAGTATTCACATAGATTTTTTCCGGTGTTCTGAATTTTTTAAAAAAAAAAGACAACGTTCAAAGAAGAAATATTACCGCTGAGCTTTCAAGGCTTTTATGTGATTTGCATGCAATGATTATATAGGGAGACGGTTAAATAAACCAAAACAACTATACATATATAATAAAATAATATAGTAAATTTAATTATAAGTAGTGGTTAGTTATGTTAAATATGTATATATAGATATATATTTGTGTAAACACAAAAATGTATGATTTAATTCATTATTAATTATTTTCTTATATATATACTTTCATTTTTGCCGGGACTTGGGAGGTCTATTTCTGTTTTTAAAATTAAATTTATACAGGAGAAATAAAGATTCACATGGCTTCGCTGTTTGAAAGAAATCACGCCGTCAAATGTGCGTATATATGTATATATCATGTGTGTATAATTGTAATACAACATTCCACCCTCAATATATATCAAGGACAAGATCGTCTCCATTTACATTATACAGTATATATATATATATATATATATATATATATATATATATATATTCCATTTCAATTGTAATTTATTATATAATGACAACAGGCCAAACGAATAATATTCCACACCGACGGTCTATTTTTTCTCTCAAGATTTTGAATACTATTATCGTCCTGGAATTTGTAAAAACTCAGGAAAATCGTCTAGAAATGATAGTAATATAAGATTTTCTAAAAAAAACCTTTTTATTGATTTAATATCCAATGAAATATTTAATTATAAAAAAATGGTCTTATTGATTATTGACCGTATACAAGCACATGGTTGCCCTTGATTGCCAGTTTATCTTCGATGAACAAAACAATACCCGACAATAAAATAAAAATGAACAAAACATATGATATGATTATTATTCCTATATATATTAATAAACTGGAAGAATCGAAAAAGCTTGACATTGAGGAAGACGGTTGTCGAGTACATATACAACACAAACTAGTTGTTAAACCTAGAAAAATCAGGAAGAAATCTAGAAGAGATAACAACTATACAAGGCAAGGTAATATTAGATATATATACGGGAGATATCTCCCATATCTCCTGCTAACACCCCCTCAAGTTGGTGAGTGTAAGTTACACACTCCCAACTTGTCAAGAAATCATGTGAACTTCTTGCCCAAAGCCTTTGTGAAGATATTAGCCAGTTGCTCTCGTGTCGAAACGTAGCTGGTAGAGATGTTGCCGTGATCAAGATGATGACGGAGGTAGTGACAGTCGACCTCAATATGCTTGGTGCGTTCGTGATACACATTGTTAGCCGCAATGTGCAAAACCGCTTGACTATCACACAAAAGTTGCATGGGAGCCGAGTGATCGACTCCAAGACAAGACAAGAGACTCTTGATCCATAACAGCTCACATGTCATAACACGCATGACACGATACTCAGACTCGGTGGACGAAAGAGAAGGGATGGTCTGTTTCTTGGTTTTCCACGAAATCGGCGACAAATCTAATTGAATAAACCAACTGCTTAACGACTTCCGGGTGAGAGGACAGCCGGCATAATCAGCATCACACCAAGCCCGTAACCGAAGATCAAGATCGGATCGAAACACAATGCCTTGGCCCGGGTTCGATTTCAAAAACCGAACAACATGTATCGCTGCATTCCAATGATCCTGTCGAGGTTGTTGCATGAATTGTGACAGAATGTGAACACTATACGAGAGCTCCGGACAAGTAACAGTGAGATAGATAAGACGACCAACTAGCCGACGGTAACGAGCAGGATCCGTAAGCAGAGGGCTATCCGAGAGGGCGAGACGATGATTTTGCTCTAGCGGGAAAAAGGTAGGTTTACAACCCAGCAAACCGATTTCGGACAAGATGTCAAGGGCATAATTCCGCTGACACACATGAATTCCAGAGGAGTTCCGAGCCACTTCCAAACCGAGAAAATATTTCAGCAGGCCAAGATCTTTCATATGAAAGCAAGAACCGAGGTATTGTTTGAAAGCATGCAATGCCACTGTCGAGTTCTCGGAAATAATCAAGTCATCAACGTACACGAGTACGCACAAGTGGATCTTTCCATTGCGGAATGTAAAAAGAGAATGATCCGATTGAGATTGTATAAAACCATACCATTCCAAAGCCGAGCGGAGCTTGTCGAACCAACAACGCGGAGCCTGACGCAATCCATAAAGAGATTTTCGTAAGCGACATACCTTGCTAGGCCCATGAGAATCGAATCCAGGAGGGAATCTCATGTAGACTTCTTCTCGTAAATCTCCGTGTAAAAACGCATTATGTATATCCATTTGATGTATTTCCCAGTTTCGCACAGCAGCCACGACGAGAAAAGTACGAACGGTGACCATCTTGGCAACCGGCGCAAAAGTTTCACTGTAATCCAACTCGTCCACCTGACGATTTCCAAGAACCACCAACCTAGCTTTGTACCACTCAACCGAACCATCCGAACGATACTTAATCTTGAAAATCCATTGACATCCGATTGCCTTCTTACCCGGAGGAAGAGAAGTGACAGTCCAAGTTTGATTCTTCTCCAAGGCTCCAATTTCGGACTGCATTGCGGCATACCAACGAGGACCGCGAACAACATCTTTGTACCGTGGTTCGACATCTGCGGATATAGACGTCAGGAAGGCACAATGAGAAGCTGAAAACTGAGCATAACCAACCGCTCGAGCAAGAGGGTATACGCATCCAGGCGGTATAATCTCGTCGGGTGCAGAGGGGAGACGTCGAATCGAGATCGTATTTGTAACGTGATCCTTTAGCCGAGTGGAAGGGAACTTAAGGCGTTTACCTCGGCCAAGATCATCGGCCAAACCAACAGTCGAGGCAGACACAGGAGATGCTGATGAGCCCCCCCTGTCGTCTAACTCTGCGTCTTGGAGGGAGACAATCGGTAGAGACTCTAATTCTGACAGCGAAACAGGGGAAGAAATTGCCGGCAAAGGAGACGAAACAGCTGGAACCAGAACACTGTCGTCCTCTGCAACCGGGAGTGGAGATGAGTTGAGAATAAGTGACTTGGACATCGACGAAGATCCAGTTTCACCCGGACTGGAAAAAAGAAACTGTGATTCACAAAACGTGACGCCGCGAGAGACAATAAAGCGATGATTGTCAAGATCATATAAGCGCCAACCTTTCTTGCCCGAGGGATATCCAACAAATGCGCAGCGGACGCTACGAGAGGCAAACTTATCACCTTTGTGAGCCTTATTATGGGCATAACACAAGCAACCAACGGTACGTAATATCGAAAAATCCGGCGAACGACCGTAGAGGACCTCAAAGGGGGGTTCGGCCCGACAACACCGAAGAAGGTGTGCGGTTGATCAAGAAGCCTGCCGCTAACACACAATCACCCCAGAATTCGATCGAAAAACGAGCTTGGAACATTAATGCACGTGCCACATTCAGAATATGTCGATGTTTCTGTTCGGCACGACCATTCTGCTATGGCGTATCCACACACGAAGTCTCATGAATAATCCCTCGAGAACGAAATTCATCACGAAGACACAGAAACTCGGTACCGTTGTCAGAACGAACGGTCCGAACTTGCTTCGAAAACTGATGTTCCACCATAGACAAGAAATCAAGGAGATAACGAGAAACCTGTGTCTTATCCGACAATAGAAACAACCACACTCCCCGGGAAAAATCGTCAACAATCGTGAGAAAATAGCGTGCTCCGCAAAACAAAGATGTACGATGTGGACCCCACATATCACAATGGACAAGCTGAAAAATATCAATCGTTTTATTTGAACTCAATGGAAAAGAAGCACGAGTCTGCTTAGCTCGGAAACAAATGTCACAAACCAAATCAGAATGATCGACAGAACTGGAAACATCAAGACCATAAATTTGTTCTAAAACTTTAGACGAAGGGTGACCCAAACGTCGATGCCAAACGCCGTACGAACACATGTCAGAAGACCGAACAGCCGCCGCAAAATCAACCCCTCGAAAGAAATAGAGTCCGTCACGCAATTCACCCGCTCCAATCACCGTCTTCATAACTCGGTCCTGAATGTAGCACAGTTTATTAGTAAACTGAACAACACAATCACAGTCGGCTAGTAACTGAGAGATCGAAAGCAGATTGACGCGCAAACCATCAACAAAAAACACATCCGAGAGACGAAGAGCAGACGAAAGCCGAACTGTTCCTGACTGGGTCGCGGTCGAATGTCGACCATCCGTTAAAATAATATGAAAAGGTGACATCGACGACAGATTTTCTAGCAAATCCAAACAACCCGTCATATGATGGGATGCTCCTGTATCAAGAATCCAAGGAACAGAGGAAGACGTACCAGATGTTGTTTCGGTTGTCCCAATCTTTCCGGCATTGAGAAGAGTGATCAGGGCCTTCCATTGATCATCGCTTAGCCCAGCAGACGGTGGTCTGTTAGAATCAAGAACAACAGTGGACGAAGAACCAGTGGCGGGTTGTAGAGCAACACGAGCAGCATTGGCCCGACCTGCTCCTCGACCCCGAGTGCCACCTGTTGTGCCATGCCCTCGACTAGAGCGGTTACGCGGCCGATCTCTCCACCATTCCGAAAAACCCACCAGTTCGCGAATTCGCGGTGAACCACATCCGACGTAAGCTCGGCTCGAGTGTGTTCTTGATCCAAGACACAATGAGAGAATTTTTCGTTTCCCAATCTTCGAAATCGGGAGATGAGGAATCCGGTTGTGGGATTGTACCATTGACAAAACCAAACTTTTTCCTTGACTTCAAAGCGTGGCGAATATTGATGGACCACTCCTCATAATTGTGGCCGCGCAATAACAGTTGCGAGAGAATCAGTCCCGGATTGTCACTGGGACTCAAGTCGAAAGGAGAGATCGTTCTCCGTGGAGCATCAGGGAATGCAGTCCTCGTCGTTGAAGACATAGTCGGGTCGGTCGGTGTTAGGGGTGGGCACGGGTCGGGTACCCGAGATTTTTGGGTTACCCGAACCCGAACCCGAACCCGAAAATTTATATAAAATAATACCCGAACTCGTACTCGTTTTGATCGGATATCCGAAAATCGGGTACTCGAAAAAATTCTCGGGTACTCGCGGATACCCGAACCCGAAATTTAAATACAAAATTTTAATAAAAAAATATATTTATTCATCATAATCAGAAAAAAAACCCATAAAATTATCACATTTTATCTATTTACAAAAGAATATCAATAATATTCATTAGAAACATAACAGAATCATTATATAACTCATCATGAAAGATCTCGATGAAACAAGAAGTATAAACGATACTTCTATAGAAAATGAAAGACCACATCTATGAGTAAGAGAGTAGATAAATAGAGAATGAGAGTAGATAACACATGAGAGAGAAGAAATGGAGAGAGAGCTTGGGGGCACACATGAGAAGTTAAATGGAGGACAGAGAGTATAGAGAGAGAGAGAGGAGGTGAAGAGTTAGAGAGAGAATGGAGCCGCCGAAGGAGAAAAGGAAAATAGATGAATTGAAATTTGAAAGTGATAAGTGATGTAGCCCTAGATTTTAACGTAATTTTATTAAAAAAATAGGGGTAATTTTGTAAATTTATTATTTTTCGGGTATCCGCGGGTAATACCCGAATCCGAATTCTAATACCCGGATTCGAACCCGAATTTCGGGTTTTTCTAAAATATAAACCCGATCTCGTCTCAATAAGCCGCCGAGTACCCGAATTTCGGGTATCTGACCCGCGGGTTAAGTCGGGTACCCGAATTTCGGGTATTTTTGCCCACCCCTAGTCGGTGTAGGGAGATTCGAATCGGAGGCGCCGTCGGATATGTTCGACATGGCGAGAAAGCGAGAAAATTAATAGGTTTCGGGCTCTCATACCATAATAAACTGGAAGAATCGAAAAATCTTGACATTGAGGAAGACTGTTGTCGAGTACATATACAACACAAACTAGTTGTTAAACCTAGGAAAATCCGGAAGAAATCTAGAAGAAATAACAACTATACAAGGCAAGGTAATATTAGATATATATACGGGAGATATCTCCCATATCTCCCGCTAATATATATGTGTCTATTGTATGTTGGTTAAATTGTATAAAAGATAATAATTTGGTGTACGCTATATATATATATTAGGTGAGTAGTCTGCCTTACTGCCATATATATTACCATGCATATATCTCTTTAGTATGGTTTATATTTTACGGATATTTAATTATAATTAATAGAATGACTATTTTGAATCTTAATTATTTTTCTATCAAATTTTATTCCAATGAACAACTAATTCAGTTAGATTATTTCTTAAATTTCGATTCAATCTGGTATTTTTGTTATCTGCGAATTCAGTTTATTCCTTAAAAAAATACATATATTTTACATGCCAAGTGGAAACGGGCCTTTAATGGGCCTTTGAATGAGTAACTATATGGGCTTATATGGTCCAAGGATTGCGCGCGTGGAAAGCCTATCGAGGCAATCTTTTGAAGAAGAAAACGAACAGCAGAGAGCAGAGCCACGAAACGAATCCAAGGATTGCTTCCTGATCTTCTTCTTCATTTGGCGTTTCCATCAAGAAAATCCACGATATGCAGAATCTGTGAGCTGTGGTTAGTTGAAGAAGACGAGGAGGATATAAAGTTTACGCGGTAAAAATGGCGGCGTCGCTGATGTTTCAGTTGCCGTTGCAGTACTATTCCTACGCTTCTTCATCCATCTCGGATCTCTCCGGTCGCCGGAATTCCAGTTTATGTAAACCGTATGCGGTGGTTTTTGACCGGAAAATCGGTCTGTGCGGTGGCGGAGATCGCCGTAGGACGAACCGGAGGTACGGTAGTGTGATAGTTCAGGCGGAGAAAGGCGATGCGGCGGAGACTAGAGTGCCGGTGCCATTGACCGTGGAACAGCAAGAGAAGAAGAGGAAAGAGAAAGACGAAGACGATGAAGGAGAGGGAGAGGTGGATCCTGATGATCTCGAATACGTCAGCGAGATCAAAAGGGTTTGTGTTTCCTTTTCTCTCTGCTTTGTCTGATTCCGTTTTTGAATTCGAACTCACCTGAAACGTTGGATATTGCATTCTACCCAAAAAGAAGAAAAACAAAGAAACTGTGGATAGTGTAGCTGGGAAACTAAAATCAACACTACGATATTGTTTGTTGTAAAGCATTTTCAAGTTATAGAGTCAGTTTCTAGGAAAAGCTTCGAGCTTTAGGGACAGAGACAATGCCGGTTATAAGGAGGCAAGATGGTTGAAACAAGGGTTATTGCAAATTTTTTTAGTTTCCTTTTATGCTTAAATCTCCTGAACAGGGAAATGCAGTGTTGATTGGGCAAGGTTCACATGCTTAGTCTCCTGGTATATAGCCGTATTCAGGAAGGTAGGCAGTCTGATCGTGCGTGTGTGTGTGCATATTAGGTATTGAAGCTTCTCAGGAAGAACAGAGACATGCTCTTCAGTGAGGTGAGTCCCTCCCAGTTCTTTTTACTTTATCTTTATAAGAATTTACCTAATGCTGTTTCTTATGTTGCCGGAAAGTTGAAATTCCTGGTTCTGTGCTTCATATCACCATTAACATCCTAGTTTTATTTTTTGTTGTCTAGAAAAACGTATTTTATGCAGATCAGTGCCTAGGATGAAACATTGAGACCTTTGCGTTTGTTGCCAAATGTAGGTTAAGTTGACTATCATGATCGAGGACCCAAGAGAGGTGGAGAGAAAGAGGTTGCTTGGGATAGAGGATGCCGACGGCCCGACCAGAGAAGATTTGGCTGAAGCCTTGGTACAGGCGAGTTTTCATGTCTTTGTTCTCGTTACATATAATTTAAATGCCACTCAAATTTTGAGTAAGCCGACCACAATTGAGACAAAATCTGACTTCAAACACATTTCTTAAGAGTTAAGACCCATGTTGAGTAGCAACTTTCAGTGATTTGTAAGACATCAGCCATGTTGTGCATCAATTGTCCTTACAGAATATGAAGATTAATCATTGGATGGATAATGTGGAATTAGTCGCTATGATCATGGTGCCATGCAATTCCTGCTCGTACTTGATGGAGGAGATGAATGCATTGAATAGCTCGTTAACCCTGTTTTCTTATCAGTTTGAATATTCTGGCCCAGAAAACCTTTACAATCTTTTCTATGCTTGAACTGGATTCCTATTCACTCTTTAATATGTATTTACATGACAACTTCATGAAGAGCATAGCTTCATTATGGATGGTGAAATGAAGCTATCTGTCAAGATATATGGCTTGTTACTTTGGTTGACTCCTCGTCGCAGGTAAATGAAGGAAAAGTCCCAAAAGACCAACTTGCACTTCGGATGTTGTATGAGGAAATGATCAATTGGCCAAATTTAGAGGTACATCTTGTTTGAATCCCACAAATGCTTCTGTTCTGTGTATTCATTGGCACAAGGGAACGGCCAACTTTCCATCTATGAAGATTCTAATCCATGTGATTCAATGTTATAAGTACATGAAATTTTCACTAAGCCATATATTGGTTAAATTCTACATGGAGAAGTATTATCAAATTACTGATATATCTTCACAAATATATGAAAATCGATGTTTAAATGTTGAAAAATGATTGTAGCTTTTAGGAAAAAATACTTGATGAGTCAGATACTATCCTCTGCAGTACATCATCCATATCATGTCCATTTCAGTTTGGACGTGATGCATTCTCTTAGAAAAGATGTGTTTGTTTCTTATTTGTTTATCTGAAAAGGTTGAGGCTCTGAAGACAAATCGAGGAAAGTCATTGTATGCAAAAGCCACAGATACGGGAATCGATCCAAAAGAGGCGGCCAAGAGACTAAACATAGACTGGGATTCAGCTGCTGAAATCGAGGATCCTGATGTCAATGACAGCAAAGAAGTTCCTGCGGCTGTGGTCCGACCACTTTCTCTCTCTTTCAAATCCTCTACTAAGTTATATTAGCCTCGGTTAATTTTTTTTAATCGTTGATGGAACAGGACTAGTTTCAACTGAACTTAGATGAAAAAACAAGGTGATCACTCTAGCAAAAGATGCAGTGTACGATCTCTTTCATTCCGGGTCTTTTTTATAACTTCATTCACATTTGATTACACCGGTTTTGACCATCGGGGTTGTGATCGGTTCTTCCCCTTGCTCTGGTTTTTTATCGTTGCAGGGTTATGGAGCGTTGTACTTAGTCACGGCTTTTCAAATTATCATCGGCATCCCTGTTGTATTGATCTTATTTTACAATTCCCTCCAGTAGTAGAACTGCTTTCCTGATCTATCTCAATGTACATTAAAACCCCGAAATGAAATTTTCATTTTTTTTTTGTCAAGTTTTAATCTTAGAACGAACTTATCACTGTCTATTTTGTTTCCTTTGATTTATTTCACTCTCTTTTCTACTCATTCCAAGGCTTATGGGCTGCACCCAGACAGGTAAGGGTCTTTACTCTCTGTTTTATCATAATGGCTATTCGTGCAGGCACATATCTGTCTTTGATTATTCTATCTTTGTCTGAAATAGGAAACAATAAAAGAGGACGTGCGACTCATGTCTGAGAGCCTCCACTGTCGTGCAGGCCATTCTACTTCTCTCTTTAAATGTCAATTACATGGTTTTTTCCCTTTTGCCACTGTCTTCTCACCATTGATTCGAGTTCTCTGTCCTCAGAAAATTGCAGGTGAAATGATGAGTTTCGGGGAGGAGACTCACGAGGACTGGCACGAGTTCGAGGTTATGAACAGAGATGATGGGCCGAAGATTCTGGTCAAGAAGACGAGCATGGAGACGGAGAGGCAGATCTCGGTGGACCCGAAATCGCTCAAGCCATCGTCCATGAGGAACAATAGCTTCAATTCAGTACTTCCACCAGCGATTTCGCCTCCTAGGAGCTTGGATTTGCCATTGCCTCTGCCTTTGCAGCCCGTGAAGACGAGATTCGTGAGCTGCAGCCTCCCAAACTCAGCTACCACGTCTCCTAAATCCGATTCAAATGCGATGAAGAAGAACAAGAACGAAGAACAATACCTGAACCTCATGCTCGTGCAAGATGCTGCTGCTGCATTCAGGAGAAGCAAATCTTGCGGGGAAGGCCTAGCATGTGCGCCGTCGCTGGATTTTGATGTATTGATGCAGAAATCAAGACATGGGCATCATCATCATCAAACGAGAAGCTTCTCCTCGAAAACGCTCTCTCACAAGAGCAGTATAAGCAGCTTCTTCTCCAAAACAGAGTCTAACAAGAGCAGCCTCAAGAGCATCAGTTCCTTCAAAGACGAGTTCAAATGCAACGCTCTCTGCTTGTACATCCCGGGTTTCGGCAAAGGAAAACCCGTCAGATCGTCCCGAAAAGACGGGTCGTTCGTCGGGTCCACCACCGCCACGACGGCAAGAACGGCCTCGATCAAAGAGCGTAATACAGTGATTTCAGCAAGAGCATCGATGGAGAAGTTCGAGTGCGGATCCTGGAGCTCCTCGGCTTTGATATACGAAGACGCAGCCGATGCCGGAGGCCCCCTCTTCGG